ATCACACCTTTCCTATAACTCAGTGACCAGAAATGCATGCAATATATCAGATGTGGCATAACTAGCATTTTATACAGTTTCAGCATAACCTCCCCAACTCTTATATTCCATGCTTTGGCTAATAAAAACAAAGATTCTGCATATCTTATGGACCAATAAAAAAGCAAAACACTAATGATGCTGAAAATACTCAGCAGGTCTGTCTCCCTGCACAGATGCCACCTGCCCTGGTGAAGAGTTCCAACGTTTTCAGTTTTTATGCCTTCTCGACCACCTTGTCTACCTGCCTTTTCCCCAAGAATCAGTGGCTATGTGCTCTGTTGCTCTGTTCCCCTACATGTCTTGGGTTCCTGTCATTTATTGCTTGCCTTGTTAGCAGTTAATAAGACAGAGTGTAGGTGCATCTAAACTCTGTTACATTCCTACCTTTGCCAAAATGAAGTTTGTTTTGTGGAGGGGACGTTGTGGTATGGTGGAGGTCAATGTCTGACCTACCTGCCTTGTGGAAGAGTATCAAATAAATAAAGAAGATATCCTGCTGAAATTTGACAGAAAGTTTGGCCAGGATTTTATGAGGCAATGGCGGTTTCATCTGTAGATTGGGAAGTTTATAGTAAAAGTGACCTGTACTTCAATTGAGCCTGCGCAAATTGAACTAGAAGCATTAGCAAAAGTGTTAATCTTCGAAGCATCTCTGATAGGCCCAAAAGGAGGCCAAACATTCAGCAGAAGGAGTGTGTGAATGCCTGAACATCCTGTAAGGGAGAGAGCTCCTGCCAGTATCCAAATAGGCCTCAAGAATTGGACATCTTGTTCAAAAGCAAGCGATCTTTATAAGATATGAGCATATTAGCTGAAGTCCTACCTTCACAAATGTTTGTAGGGGTTTTATCAGTCAATGTAAACAGTACAATAGATTCCCTTGACCAGCTGCTTTATCTTTAATGAGATCCTTTTACCTTAGTCCCTGATCTCATCTTTCCTTCTTCACACCGTCATATGACCATGTCGCCCCACTACATATACTCTACCCAACACACAACTGATCTCATCTCCTTTTTATTGAATCATTCGTATGAATCTCTCTCTCTCTCATAGGCAAGATTCCCTCAAAACTGTTAGCAGCCGGGGTTTTATGCCCATGATACCTACTTGCCAATTTCCTGTTGCAATTCCACCCATAAACCAAACCTATGACTCGGTCTACAAATCCAGCATTGGACTATTGAGTCACCTCAGGACTCATACTTTCGGAGTGGAGAAAATTCATTTTTGCTCTCAAGGGACTGTCTAAGAAAAAGAAAAAGGAACTACGTCATAGTGACATCAAATCATGAGAAACTGGAGCCTGGATCAAGTAAAATGCCCTTTCTTACCAACCTCTGTATATAGTCAAGTTCAATAGATCCTCTTGCTACTCAGTCACAAGAATGTAGATTTCACAAAAAGTTGGTGGCAACACTACCTTGGATTCTGGGAACAATCACCAGATTTATATGCATCAGGCAGTTATCTGTCTGGCATTGGGAATCCTGCCCCTAAGAATTGCTGGTCAATTGGAGAACATGGCAGCTGTACCAGTTGGTGTAGTGGCCACTGCTGGAATTACATCAAGCCAGGAGCATCAGCATTGGTGCTGCTCTGGAACCCAGCTAAAGTGGAGTCGGTGTTACTGAGACTATCCGGGCAGGCTCCACTGAGGGGCGGTTGATGCTTTTGCCACAGAGGCTGCCCTCAGAGCTAGTTCTAGAAGTAATTTAACTTTGAAGTTCCGAGAAAGGGTCACCGGACCCGAAGCATTAACTCTGATTTCTCTTCACAGATGCTGCCAGACCTGCTGAGCTTTTCCAGCAATTTCTGTTTTTGTTTCTGAAGAGCATAGGATCTACTTTAGAATTGATGGAAAAGTGAAGAGGTATAGTTGGATCTCATTGGTATACCTTTGGAAATTGACCTGATGATAATGCTGACAGGCAGAACATAGATTACTAAGAGCAAGAAAACACTTACATATCACAGTTTGATTCTTTGTCAAGTATGGTTGAATGCATAATGGGTTTTCATGACAACCAAAGGAATAGTCTGAGATAATCAATGAAAACATGTAAATATTTCAGATTTTCATTCTTGTAAATACAAACTCATTGTTTATTGATAATTACCTTGAATTACATAATAGAAACATATCATGTGGACCAGCAGTTCTATGTTGGTGTTTATGTTTCACATGAGCCTCCACAGACATTTATTTCCACCAACATGCACTACTATTCCTTTCTTCACCTCACATCCCCAACACCCTCGTGCTTCCCCCTCCTCTATACTTAATTTGCATTCTCTTGAGTGCAATTTAACTTGGGATGCACCTCAACTTCTCCATGTAGTAGAGATTTCTACATTCTCACCTCTTCCTGAACTTCCATGATTCTTGAATCAAAAAAGTTACTCTTGAGTTTCTAACAAGATTTATTAGGTGACAACTGATATTTATGATTTCCACCACAGCAAAAACTGAATACATGTTATCTACGTCTACACTGTCAACTCCTTCCTAGTTTTAAAAGCCTTTACTAAGTCACTCCTCAGTATTTTCATTTTTTTAGACAAAGAAATGTCAGTCAATGCAGTGTTTTCCTGAGAACTGTACCCTCTCAGTTCTGGTCACATCCTGATTAAACTTTTTGCACTTTCTCTAGTGCTCTATGTCTTTCTCCAATATGAAGATCAGGACTGAAAACAAGTATTATGTTCTTGGCATTTACGTCAGGAAAATCAGAATTAATAGCTGATTAAAAGAAAGAGCTTAATTTTAATCCATTCTGATTCAGTTGAGGCAGGATGTTAGCAGTTTTGAAAAATGCATAATTCTTCAGATACTTTATACATATGATAAATCTGAGAATGTGACTTGAACTACTATACATAATAAAACTGATGAATCATAGAAAATACATTTGCACAGTATTCACCGTAAAACAACATAAAATTGTCCTTGGAAAATGGTATTTTAATGCTTTGTTGCAAAGAATTTGCCTGGTTCTGAAAATAAAAGAAGAAAATCATTATCTAATTAGCCTCATAAAGGCAGAAGGGCATCCCTTAATAGTCCTGTAAAATATATCTGTATTGGAGATGGATTAAAAATACCACTTCAACACTGATGTAGTTCTGTGGCAAGAATACAAACTATATCTCCTGGGGCTTCATAAAAGGTGAAAGCAACTCTCTCTTCAAATCTAATGAGCAAACTGAAAAAAAACATGTGATGTTTTTGTTTACAAAGGGACTTTGCTCTTACCATTTCAGATGAAAGTCTGTCTTTCTGTATATAAATACAAGCAACACAATGAACTACAGAAGAAGTAATAAAAATGTCTGGAGCATGTTTTGGGAGAGGAAGAACAGACAGTGCATTATACATTGAGACCCTGGAGGAAAATATGGCAGAAGGCAGTTGAATAAATGGTTACAACTTAATAATAAGGCAAAGTAGTGCTGCTCTGTGAAATTCTTGATAACCAGACTATACAGAATTATTGTTGTGATGAAACTGAGGGAGAGTGACGTCTTACTAATTCAGTAGTGTCCGAAGTAATTGACATGCTATGTAATGGAAGAATGGTCCTATCTGCACCAATTAGATCCTTTAACATTCCTTGTCAGTTTATAAAGTCTTCTACTCGGGTCCAGCAATAGCACTCTTTAGAAGATTGGCTGCAGAAAGGTAATTCTGCAAAAGACTGTGGAATTATTGTCCTCACTGACTTCAAGTGAACTACATACACTTCTGTGATCCACAATGCCGCACATATCAGAATATGCATATTGCAAGGTGAGAATTAGATACATTATGATGAACAGTTTAACCTTTTCAGTTGATTGTAGCAGTGAACTGGCAAATTAAAATATTTAGTACTTTATTGCACTGACTGAGGCACACGCTGTTCCCTGGGTTCTCAATGGCAGAATGGTCTTCTGAGGACAGCCTGAAGAATCCTTGTTTGCCTGTGTGTCTGTGTACATGTACAAGATAAGACTTAGTTCAATTATAGACTAGCCGTGTGATCTCAATTGAGCGCAGTTATGAGCATTGATGATTAAAAGTATATTGTCAAGAGATAAATGACTTCAAGTTTCAAGATAATGGTGATAAATTTACCATATTTAAAGTTAGCGAAATTTATGGAGTTAACAGATTCCAATACTTCAAAAATTACTTTCAAATAAATATTCTCTATAATAAATGCTGCAAACAGTTCAATAATTTTGCAAATTTAATTTCTTACAGATTCTGTCTAGTTGCACTAGTTTTGGGGCTGGGTGGGATAACATCCTCTAGTGGTGTGTCATAAACCCGATTTTTCTAAACAGGCTTAGATTTTTACTCTGCGTAGCATGTGTTGAAAATCTTTACTTTATAAACGGACAATTAAAAATTCTGTTTCAATCTCTTTCTGCCCAGTGTAAAGTAAATAACCTTTCAGAAAAGTGTGGTTAGTCTACAGAAACTTGGTATGAAGTTGTATAAGATTTTGTTTCAGTTTTATAAAATCATAATTGATACAGCAGTCAACTACTTTGGACAATGACCCTGCCTGCTATTTGATAAGGTTATGACTGATCTGATTGCATCCAGACCTCCACTTTACTCTCAGATCCCCCATAACTCTTAACTCCTTTCTTGATTAAAAATCTGAGTAATTCAGTCTTGAATATATTAAATTCAATAAGCCTCAACTGCTCATTGTAGAAGAGAATTCTGGAGACTAACAAGCCTGTTTCTCTCTGTTATCACATGGTCACAGGAACAGCAATAATTAAGACTTGATATGGTTGAAAACTTCCTTCTTCTGTAACCTAGATCTGTAACGTTACTTTGTGATGTGTTGCAAAACATGGTGAAAATATGTTAATTTATATATTTTGTAACCATTGGCTATCAGTTCTAAGATAAGGTATAAATGACAAACCTTCAAAGATTTTCACATTATTTTCAACAGGTTCAAACACATCTGGAAAACCCAACAAAGTACCATCTCCATCAAACACAGAGACAACAGGTGAAACAGTACCTGGCACTGGGCACCAAGCTTTCCAATCAGACATTCTCCATTTCTCACTCACACCCAGGAGGATCTGTTAGGCCAACTCCTTTAATGAGAAATGCCCATGTTCCCCCCGGTAATGAAAGTAATACGCCTGACAGTCCAATCACACTGCTGTCTCTAGGAACAAATCATGAAAATGAGGTAATCCTTTTTTTAGCATTTTTGCATCTCTTTTTTTACACTTGGTCAGTTACAGTACAGAGCAAAGGTACATACAAAAGTTTCCGTAATCTTTATTAATGTTTTGGTTACTCCAAATGAAAACATGGTATTGCAAGTCTGTTCTAACTTCAGAACATTTAGAAAGTATTTTGAGTGAGCAATTTCTGTGTCATGCAATAAGTTATTTCCTCTCATTTTTTTAAATAAAAAAAAGCAACTCATATAACAATTAATGTGTCCCAACTCACTTCATTGGAGCAATATAATTATATGAGGAGATATTTGATCAGATGAAAACTTGGGAAAAGGTGTAAATTTTAAGTTAGCTCTTAAAAGAAGAAGTTGCAGTACAAAGGAGACAGGTGCAGGGAAGGTTTTTGAGCCCTTGGGCCCTGAGCAACTGACGGCACAACCACCAATGGCAGAGGAAGTAAAATTAGGTAATTCACGAAAGGCCGAATTAGAAAGCGTGCGTATACCTCAAAAGGTCATAAACCTGGTGGACATTACAGTGAAAACATGGGATGGGACCGTGGAAGGAGTTGAAAGCAAGGATGAAAATTTTAAGATCAAGGTGAAGCTAAACCGGGGGCCAAAGTAGTGAGAAGAGAGAAGGTGGGAAACAGGACTTTGTGTGAGTTAAGACATAGCAGAATTTTGGAAATACCTCAAATTTTAGGGATTGACTATGGGATATTAGTCTGGTGTGTGTTGGCATTTCGAATCTAGAGGTAAGAAAGGCAGGGGCGAGGAACTGAGGAGGTGAGCCATGGAAGGGGTGCAGTTGGCCAATATTACAAAAGGTGGAATAGGCTGTTTTAGTGAGAGATAATAGGAACTGCCGATGCTGGAGAATCTGAGATGACAAGGTGTAGAGCTGGATGAACACAGCAGACCAAGCAGCATCAGAGGAGCAGGAAAGCTGATGTTTCAGGTCGAGATCCTTCTTCAGAAATTGATTTCTGAAGAAGGGTCTAGACCCGAAACATTAGCTCTCCTGCTCCTCTGATGCTGCTGGCCTCCTGTGTCCATCCAACTCTACATCTTGTTATCTCTGTTTTAGTGAAGTTTTGTTTATTTTCCCTCAATTCGAATGAATTTGTTTTAAAAGTTTTATACATTGTATTTATTTATATATTTGTTTGTACATATCCTGAAATGTTACATTTTTAGGTTGTGTGGTCTTCAGTTGCAAATAGTCAAACACACTTATTGTTTGATTTAAAATAAACTGATTTCAATCCAGCTAAATTATATGTAATTCTGTTACTTTGCTGTGAATTTCTCAAAGTGTAAATTTTCCACTGTGGAACTGAATTTTCACACAGTTAGATGAAGTAAATGCTTATACAATTAATGGTAGTGTTCTGTTTAATGTTGTAGAACAGAGAGACCTAGAGTTTCAGGTACATAAGAAGGCGTTTAGCAGATTTGCCTTCATTGCTCAGATCTTTTGAGTATAGGAGTTGGGATATCATATTGAGGTTGTGCAGGAAGTTGTTGAGACTTCGTCTGGTGTTCTGTGTACAGTTCTGGTTGTCCTACAAAAAAAGGATATTATCAAATTGCAGAGGGTTCAGAAAAGATTTACCAGAATGTTGCAGGGAAATGGAAGGTTTGAGTTATAACGAAATGGGATTTTTTTCACTGGAGCATAGGAAGTTGAGGGGTGAGCTTACTGAGGTTTATAAAATCATGAGGGACATAGATAGGATGAATAGCAAGGGTCTTTTCCCTAGGGTGGGGGAGTTCAAAACAAGGGAGCATATATTTAAGGTGAGAGTAGAAAGGTTTAAAAAGGACATGAGGGGCAATTTTTTTTACATAGAGACTGGTTCATATGTGGAATGAACTGCCAGAGGAAGTGATGGATGCAGGTACAGTTATAAAATTTAAGACATTTAGATAAGTACGTGAATAGGAAAGATTCAGAAGGATATGGGCCAAATGCAGGCAAGTGGGATGAGTTTGGTTTGGGAACATTGTTGACGTTAGAACGATGGGACTGATGGGGCTATTTCCATATTGTATGACTCTGTGACTTTATCAGCCATAATAGAAAACGGTGGAGCAGTGTCAAGAAACTGAATAGCCTACTCCTGCTCCCAAGTTCCTCTGGTTCCATGTTCCATCTTCGCTGTCAGGAAATTCATCAATCCTGTGTGCCACTCTCTTTGATGGCACGGTCAAAAGAGGGAACTCGAAACAGAGAGTTACAGGCATAAATGTGCAGTTTGTGTTACATTGACTGAAGTTTGAAAATGCTGAACTCCCAATTCATCCAGCTCCAATACTACTTGACATGCATATAAATCCTGTAAACCCAGACAGGATATTCAAAAGGAACTGATACGTACCAGTAGGACAAGCCAAGGGAGGAGCTAATACATTCATTTCATTTGTAAAGCGTCTAATGATAGATACAGTTTCTCTATAAATGGCAATATCCTGTGTGCATACGTAGAGATTGTCCTACAGGCAGCTTATCTTTGACATACGTGAAATATGTACTAGAGTTCTATTTACACAGCATGCACTATACTTTGTTGGATATAACAATCACTGCTAAATAAAGCATTCAGTATTCCACAATTTAAACTCATCTTTTTACTGAGCTTTTTACTGAGCATCAGCATCATCTGCTAAGCATCAGTAAAAAGCATCAACTTATTACTGAGAAGAAACAAAATGATTGTTGGTTAGTTGATGGTGACAGTTATCTGTCTTATAAAGCGATGCTTTGTGCCATGGATACAAAATTGGCTCGAAGATTGGCACCCTTTAGTAGACAAAGGGTGGTGGTGGAGGAGTGTTTTTTGGACTGGAGGCCTGTGACCTGCGGTGTGCCATAAGGATCAGTGCTGGATCTAATGCTTTTATTTATTTGTATAAATGATTGGATGTGAATATAGGAGGTATAATTAGTAAGTTTGCAGATGACACCAAAATTTGAGCTATAAGGAGAGGCTAAGTAGGCTGGGGCTATTTTCCCTGGAGTGTTGGAGGCAGAGGGGTGACCTTATAAAGGTTTATAAAATCATGAGGGACATGGATAGGGTTAATAGCCAAGGTCCAGGGTAGGGGAGTCCAAAACTAGAGAGCATCGCTCAAAACTGAGAGGGGAAAGATTTAATAGGGACCTAATGGGCAACCTTTTTCATGCAGAGGGTGGTGCATATATGGAATTATCTGCCAGAGGATGTGGTGGAGGTTGGTGCAATTTCAACATTTAAAAGTCATCTGGATGGGTAAATGAATAAGAAGGGTTTAGATGGATATGGGCCAAATGTTGGCAAATGTTGTCTCTATGACTTGGCGTAAGTTATCTTACATTGTACATTGGCAAGCTGAAAAAGCCTTCTGTCAGTTCTGATATTTAAGTAGCCAAGCTCTGTGAGTGAGTTAGAGATATAACATAGCAACAAAAAGAAGAACAGCTAATTAGTGCAGTTGCCAGGACTAAAGTTGTCATAGTCCCATAGGACCATAGGGCTTCTGACATTTGAGAGGGATTACTGATGGTTAATTTAATCTTAGGATCTTCACACCTCAGGTTAGGGAGGAGGGGGGCAAGATTGGAAGGACCTGCATGATAACCTCAACCCTGTTTGACATCACTGTGGTTTTGATGTTGTCCTAGATTAGCTGACCTTACTGATCATGTTGTCATGGAAAGATATGATCAAATTGACCAGATTCCATGGGCAGCCAATTTTCTTCACCTGCTTAAATAGACTGCCTTTGCTGACATGATCAAATGCTTTGGTGAGATCAATGAAGGCAAACATAACAGTCTCCTTTCTTTGCAGTATTTCTTTTCCATCTGCTGGACAAAGAAGATCATACCAATTGTAGATTTACCAGTTTTAAAACCAGCCTGCTTTTCAATGTAGATGCAGTATCACATGGGCAACACAGGCGAATCATTTTCCTGTGATGCTCAGATCTACCTTGATCGTTGTTGCTATTGCTTGTTCTTGTACAGGATCATGCTCATATATCCTGGAGCACTTTCAATCCCTTCTTGCAGAGATAAGGGATTTCTTGCAGATGCCTGGGAAGTGGGTTTCCTGGGCTTGGTAAGTTTAGGCAATATAGCATCATCTCCTGGAGCTACCCCCATCGCAAGTCAATCAATAGCTTTGCTAAGCTCTTCCATGTCAAAGCCTCAGAGGAACTCTGAGGAGGTTTCACTCCCAGCCATGTAGTGTACTGCCATGTGGACACAACCAGTCATACATGAACCAAACTTCTAGCTCTGGGTGAATAGTCCTACTGCCTCATGAATACCTCAGGAGAGTTTGAGACTATGGTAATAAATAATTTTTAAAAATCTGGATTGGAGCACAAAGGCCACCTGATGTCTAACTGTGTTATCTTTCTGTCAAATCCTACAACCACTCATTGTATTTTACTGTCCTTTGGACTCAATCGGGGAGGTTGAGAGGAGAACCCTCATGCTTAGGCAGAACAGAGTCTACATAACTTTTACCCAGGCTTGCACCCTTAAGAGGATGCTCCAGTTCCATTGCAGAGCAATTGCAAAATATGGGAAACAGCAGTTACAAATGATAAGCCAATTGACCTATAGAATGGGTGCTATGTGTTCTCTCCATTGGTGGAAGGGACCATGTATCTATTTGGCTGCCCTGCAATAATCTCAAGATTAGTAAGTTGCTGATCTGCCACAGTTCATCTGCCTTAATGAGTGTTTGGAGGCAAAAGTCTGTGCTGAACAAGTGGACAGAGTTCACTGCACCAGGCAAACAAACAATGCAATCTATCAAAAAGAAGAATGCCAGCTCTTCAATTGGCAAGCTGCAACATCAGAGCTATGGGCACAGGTTTGACAGCTAACTTGCAACTGGTTGATAATGTATAGCGTATGCAAGGCAGCTGTGCCAGACATGGACATTGATAGGCTGAGCATCTTATAGTGTTTGTACAAACAAACCCAGAAATTGCTAGAGAAACTCCACGCTTCAGCACTTTCTGATTTTATGTCAAGTCTTCATCATCTGCAGTACTTTGCTTTTATTTTACCATCTCTACAAAGTTAGTTGATAGTAAGTTAGAAACTGAAGCCCACAAGTTTTAAAATGGCAGTGCCTCCATGACCATAGAACAGTTCAGTTTTGAAATTTTTCATTGATTTTGGTTACGGCAATGTCACAAATAAAACACAGGAACAAAAACAAAGTTGCTGGAAAAGCTCAGCGAGTCTGGCAGCATCTGTGAAGAAAAAAATCAGAGTTAACATTTTGGGTGCGGTGACCCTTCCTCAGAGTTAACATTTTGGGTCCGCCTCAGAGTTAACATTTTGGGTCCGGTGACCATTCCTCAGAACTGAGTTTCTTCACAGATGCTGCCAGACTTGCTGAGAAGAAACTCGGTTCCGACCCAAAACGTTAACTCTGATTTTTTTCTTCACAGCTGCTGCCAGACCTGCTGAGCTCTTCCAGCAATTTTGTTTTTGTCCCTGATTTACAGCATCTGAAGTTCTTTTGGTTTTTATTCATAAATACAAAAATTGAAACAGATTGATAATATAATTGTTTTGACTAATACCCCAAAACCAAACCTCCTGGATGAACAGGTGCTAGCAGAGCTGTGTATCACTACCTTTTCTCAAAACTATGCTTTTGAGCGAAAGTCAATTACATGTATAGTATGTAACAGATATGCCAACATGAGTGTCTTGTCGGCGCTTTCCTATGTTGAATGATTTCGCCCAGGCTATATGATAAAGAATTTGAGGGCACTTCACTGAATATTATTTTCACCTGCACAACACATTGTTTTTAGATGGATGATGTTATCGATGATATAATCAGTTTGGAATCGAGCTGCTTCAATGAAGATTCTGTCAGCTGTATGGAACCATCTTCTCTCATACCAAACACAGTAAGTACTGTTAGAGGAAAGAGAAGTTTCTTTAAAACCCAACAGCTTGTGGGCAACTGGAGAAGAAATTGGGAAGCAGTAATGATCCAGCATTACGTCTACTCTGAATGTTTTGATCTTTCTTCTGTATAATTTAAAATGGCTGGAAATGTTTATTCTTGCCATTCTCCATAATAGTTCTTTAACGGCTATGGAGAAATTAATTCAAGGAATCACACAAGACGGAGAAACAATTCTCACATTTACTCACATTGGTCTTCAGCTTATTGTTTAATGGGTAGGCCCGAACTATGTTTGTATTTTGCAATAGGTTTATTTGGTTTAAATACTCCAGAATTACATTACTGATACTATATTATTGCAATAATGTCTTGGAGAAGACTAAAATCACTATGATTCTTTGTGTGCTTCAAAGACTAGGATTTTGATAGCAACATCATTTCAACATCATAATCAAAACTGAACTTTTGCTTTTTCTCAATGTGAGAATATTGACCTGGTTTTCTCTCAAACGGTAAAATTGAGACAGGTATATTTGAATTGCACTTATAAGATGGTGTTGGGTTAAAATAACTGGGGAAGATAGATGTGTTGTAGATGTCCATGCAGCCCAAAGATGTCCTTGCTACCAACAATCAGGAAGTATGACTGTGCGACAAAGCCGAAATCCTCATTCTATTCTCGGTGATAGAGGATGCAGATTTAGATTTAATTTAATGGGGAGGATGGCAGGGCTCGGCTTACTTCCAGGATGGGGGTGGAGTTCTGCCAATGGTGCAACAATCATGCAGATGTGTTTATTGTTAGACAAACTTAGTGTAGGTTAGGTTGTCCTGGCACCCTTTATGCATTTCTCCATGGTGCCAGCATTTATTACAGGCTCAATTACATTTATAACCTCCTTATACTTTGTCAAATCCTCATCACTTGAGGAGGCCTTATACAAAACAAAGAACTGCGGATACTGGAAATCTGAAACAAAAACAAAAATTCCTGGAAAAACCCAGCAGGTCGGAGATTGAGAAAAGTTACTAGACCCGAAACATTAACTCCATAGATGCTGCCAGACCTGCTGAGTATCCCCAGCAATTTCTGGTTTTGCCTGTAAGAAATACAAATGTTCCTCGTGCTCTGCCCCTTGCAATATCTGACTGTATTGCAGTGACAGGTTGTGTAATGCACAGCAGACCACTACTATTGGAAACACCTTCTGATGTGTGTTCTGCAGAGCCCATCTAGACTAGTCAAGGCAGTAGTTATGTACTTTAAGAAATTAAATGGTGTATTGATGGAAGAATGAGCTGAATTGTTGCACTCCTCTGCTTCCCTCTGGTGATGCCTCACTGGTCTCATCACTCATGTACACATGGAATGAGCCTTGTCATTGAAGATCCATCCATCTGAGGCTTCAAAATCCCTTGAATCTGAGTTGTGCACAATTATACTACCCTGGAAAATGAGCATGGCTTGCAATATCTTTCTCCTGTGGCTTTATACTATTTGCGTATTTGTGTTATTAAACTTTTATAAGTTACAAATTCACCTGGATGTCCTCAAGAAATGTTTGTTGCTCTCATGAGTGCAGTTATTGGCTGCAGATATTAGCTGCCTCAGAGTCTGGCTGTTGTCCTCTGCGATAGGGTTAATAAAACCATTGGGACAACTACATGGGACATCAGTCAGCTTCTCTGTGTACCAATGTGTGGCAGTCTGTGCGATGTCAAAAGTATTTCCCATTGCTCCCTGAAAGCCACTGCTAGCATAGAAATTGAGCATTTCTGTAACTTTGAGGGTCGCTGGCATGGGGTTCCAACCAAATCCAAATGGCTACACTTCTTGATGACCAAGCCAACATATTTCCATGACCATTTCTAAGGGGGCCCTTAGATATCTCAGACTTTGCCCCTCTGACATATGGACATAATTTGTTCTTGTCGTCTGGATGCTATGTTATGCCAGTGCCCATCTTTGCCGATGCCTTCCCCGATGTCAGTATCTGGACCAGCCTTCCCCACTGGAATTGCTTTCTTGCGGCCTCTTTTGTTGGACTACAAGAGCTTTCCTTCCTCACATTCTGTCCTTCAATTCCTGAGGCTGTAGGAATATTGGGTGAATGAAACCTGTGATTATGACATCAATTGCACTGTGTAAAGGGGCCAGACGTACATACGAGAGCATGCTTGTTCATGGTTCTCATCCATTTAATGTATTGTAGATATTTTTAAAACAATCTGTTCAGAGATGTTATTGCAGGTAGGACTTCAATCCAGGCCTTTTAATGAATTATAAGCAATTCCCTTTAAATTGGCTAATCGTGCGCAGCGTTCACTGCATTTGTCCAAAACAACTTTCCTCTCTTTTAAAATGATTGTTATATTCAGAAAAATATAAAATGAGACGTTAAAATTATAGCACGTTTTACATTCCAAATCTGAACTTGATCCATTTTATGCCTGAGAAGTGAGTGCAATAAATTCCAATGTTTACCATTATGTTTTTCAAATTGTAACAAATTGGTGGTTTTAAATTGTTCAATAAAATATAAAATAAAATATAATTCTAAAGATCATGAAACCATTATTATTTCATCAGTTGCAATGAACGACAACAGCAAATGAGCTGAACTTTATCTCATGCAACAAAATAGTGGTAAAATTTGTCTATTCATGAGGCATAGTCGTCAAGATAGCTTTTTTAGCTGATGTGTGAGTTCTTTGCAATCATCTTCAACTGTTCAAAATTGCAAAATGTTGACGAATTATTCCTAGGCATTGAGTTTTACAGGCATAGTTACCAATGGTACCCACCTTATTAAATGCAGCTTGAAATGAATATTTCCAGAAGGAAAGAGGCAACTTGCTATTATCCATGGCAAAATCTGAAAAGTAAAATCTGAGAATATTTCTTCTAAATATCAGATAGTGAAACACTGCTTTATTGATTTTTCACCCTGCTGTTTAACTTCTGTTGAAATATTTTCTTGCAAGCTAGTAAACATTAACAATTGTACAGCTTGACATAACATCAAAGAGCTGAACAACCTGCGCTGAAAAAAAATTGCCCTTAATACATGTATGTCAGGCTAGTGTTAAAGTCCAAGGAGTCAGAGTTCACTTGTTTATGTGAATTGAATACTTGCTCAAATTTCTGCTCACATCGAAGCTCTGAGAAGAGAAGAAAATTAAAATGAAAGAGAAAAGTAAAACAATTGCTATTGTGGAGTTTATAGAATCACAAAAAATAAAACTGGTAAGAAATCAATTTTCCTATTGCTATTTGGGTTATACTTAGAATAGTCAGCAGAATTTTGAAGTCTTCTTACTGAGAAAAATGCACATAATTAAAATCTCTAATGGTGGTGGAGTACATTACCACAGAACAGAACCACTGTACTGAATACATAGTCCTAAAATGGTAACAGTGCCAACATTTGTGCAGCAGATATAAAACAATAGCTTTATTTATTAGGAGAACAATACAAATTTACAACTTTCTTGGAACTGTGTAGTTTTCTATATTTCTCCTGTGGTATTCACAAATATTTGTTGATTATTTTCTGTAAGCCTACTTAAACTACTTTGAAAATAAGTTTGCCATGAAGAATATTATTGTCTTTTTAAAAATCAAATCAGAAAGTTGGATTATTGAATTACTAAAATAGAAAAGTTAACACAGTGCGTGGAAGTCCAAAAATGACAATGTAAAGTTTTTAGTCAATAAGTAAAAGTCTTGCAGTTTTAAAAATGCGGTTTAGATTTTTTCTTGCCTCTTGTGAGGCCTTTCAACTTTCAAAGGTTATTAATAGATTATAAAGTAACCAAAGAACATTGGAGAACATGTTAGTCCTTTTGTGATGTAATTACAGGCAGCAGTCTTTCGATTATTTTTATTCATTGATGGTAACATAGAATGACTAAGTAGTTATACTTTTTAAGTTCCCATTACTTTTAATATTTTACAATGAAATCTTAAAGAATTAACCAAAATTTTGCATTATTTTCTGTGTGGAATGGTAGTTCCTAGTACCGTAAATGTAACATTGTTTATGGGAGAGATTATCTTTCAAAGCTGATTTGTCAGGTTGCTATATTACTACAAATTAAACTTAATGTGGATTCTGTTCGTACATTATTTTCATGATTTGATTAGGTGACATGGAGTTAACTACAGATTTAATGTTGAATGGAGTTTTACACTTCAGTGCAAAGTTCCTTTCTCAGCAAAAATTCCCTGTTTAATGCTGGCCATGCTTTCTGGAAATGGTGAAATAGTCTCACTAATTACTTAATGTGGAAATAATGGACAACCATTGCAAAATTTCTAGAGAGGTTTCACAAATTAAAGGTAAACATTAGAAGCTGTATATATCAAATATATGAGAAGAATTACAAAGGTAAAGTTTAAATAATACCACTTCACTATTTAGCAGAAAGCAGAAACATTCTCTCGTGTGTTCTGCCAATATTAATCACTCAACTAACTATAGGAACAAAGATTTTTCAGTTATTACTTTATTGCTGTTTGTGGGAGCATGCGCAATTTTGCTGTCATGCTTTTTCAATATAACAGTACCTGCCTTTCAAAAGTTAACTTCAGTCCCTTCAGTGCTGCAGAAGTGCAAGTTCTTTCTTGTGTGTGACTTCAAGTGAAAGAAATTAGTTTAAAGGAACTTGATTCCATTTTTTGCTGATGTGAAGTCTGTTCTTACCAATTCTACATTAACCTTTCAAACTTATCTCACTGGGAATACTCCCAACTCTGAGTCAGAGGCTGGGGGTAGAAGATCCAGTCTAGAGATTTGATTAGATAGGTTGGTATTGCAGAGTTACACATTTATTTCTCAAATAAAACCAAGAATAGATTAAAACCTGCCTCATGAGTTCTAAACTTCAAGAATATTTCATTGTGCATGAAGCATTTTGGAATATCCTGAGGCTGTGTAGGTATAATTTTAATACAGGATCTTTAGTCTCTCTTTTTGTATGACTGTCCTGTTTTGAACAGGATTTATACGGTGAAACTTCCTTGATCACCAATGTATCCACTATCTTTGCAGACACTTCATTCGTATCCAAAGAGTCTAGCCATCAGGACCTTGACAGCTTTTAGTTTCATTATTTTTCTAGTACTTTTTTGTTTCCTGACTATGCTTGTTTTTGGTTCCTCTGTCCATTTTGCCCACTCTTTTGTATGATTCTAGGGACACTTCTTGTGTCTTCTACTATGATGATGGATAAGAAATACTTGGATCAAGTCTCTGCAATTTCTTTGCTTCCTGTTATTAATTCCCCAATCTCACCCCCTTCAAAATAAATGTTCACTGTTGCTATGGTTTTAGTTTTTAATATACTGGTAGAAAATTTTCTATCTGTTATATATTTCTTGCTAGTTTACTTATATACTTCAATTACTCTCTTTTTTAGTTCATTCTTTTCTGGCTTTTAGCATTTTTCCAATTTTCTGGCCTACCACTAATCCTTGTAGTGCGGTAAAACTTTTCTTTCAATTTAATACCAACCTCAACTTACTTATATCACCACAGACGGTGTATTTTTTTCAAAGAGAATTTTTTTTCAATGGAATATATTTTTATTGAGAGTTGTAAAATATACCTAAAATGTCTGCCAACGCTTCTGTACTGTTTTATCTTTAAACTTATTTGCTTACTCCAATGTTTTCAACTCTGTCTTCATATCCTTGTAGTTGCTTTCAATTAAATTTGTGACACCTGTTGCAGAAACAGAAAATAAAATTCTATTTTGTTATGGTCATTCTTACCTACAGGTACCTTTATTTTGATGTGATTTATTAATTCTGTCTCCTTACACACTACCACGTCTAAAATGTGGAGCTGGAAGAACACTGCAGGCCAGGCAGCATTAGAGGAGCAGGAAAGTTGACATTTCGGGTCTCTGAAGAAGGGTCCTGACCTGAAACGTCAACTTTCCTGCTCCTCTGATGCTGCTTGGCCTGCTGTGTTCCTCCAGCTCCACACTGTGTTGTCTCTGACTCCAGCGTCTGCAGTTCCTTCTATCACCAGGTCTAAAATAGTCTGTTTCCTGATTGGTTCAAGAGTGCATTGTTCTGACACACTACCCATAATATAGTATATGAATTTGTCTTCCAGGTTACCTTTACCAGTTTGATTTACATAACCTAAATGAGATTAAAATTTACCTCAATTATTGCAATACATTTCTTACAAACTTCCATTGTTTCTTGATTTATAATTTCTCAAATATTGTGACTGTTAGGGAATCTATGAACTACGCCAGCCAATGACTGTTTCTTTCCCCCCTTGCGATTTCTTAGCTTCAACCAAACCTATTCTATATTTTGATCCTCTGGACCAAGATAATTTCTGGCTTCTGTATTGATCTCGTCCTATCTTAAACTGAGCCACTTCTCCTCCTTTTCTTCAGTCTTTCCAAGATGACAAATATCCTTCAGCATGTAGGTCCCAACTGTGGTCAGTTTGCAACACTGTGTCTATTATGGCTGTCATGTCATGCTCATTTATTTCAATTTTTCATATCAAACTTTTTGAGTCCTGTGTAGATTCAGATGATGAGTATTTAATTCTCTCTTTTTACCATTTCCTCCCTACTCTAACGTTATTTGCTGACGCACGCTTGTGTTTACATTTTCTGCCTCTTCTTGACACACTCTGGTTTTCACACCAACATCACTATCCTGCTCTATAAACTTGGTCTTTCTCTTTAGTTTTTTCAATCGCCCCTCATGAGAACCTTCCGCACGCCTAAACTTACAAGCCGATCATGTCTGCATGGTGCAAGAGGCTATTCAAGTTGAGGAAGGAAAAAGGAACGTAGTTACAGTAGAGGACAGTTTGTTGAGTGGGATAGACATAGTTCTCTGCAGCTGTGACCATGAACCTTGAAGGCTGGGTTCCCTCCTTATTGTTGGGGGTGAAGGACATTTCTTCAGGGTTGAAGAAGAACTTGGTGTGAGAGAGAAAGATGCAGTTGTTGTGCATGGAAGGGGAAACTAGTACCATCAGTAGGATGAAGAAAGAGATTTTGTTGTGGGTGAATGAGCAGCTAGAAACTCAATTAGAACAGAACCACAAAAATAATCATCTCTGAATTACTACCTGTGCCATGAACAAATTGGTATAGGGTAAATAAGACCAGAAAGTTGAATACATGACTGAAAATTAGTGTGCGAGAAATGGGTTTCAATTCATGGAGTACTGGCATCAATACTAGGGAAAGCTGCAGTGCTGGATCTTGCCTTCAGCTGAACTGTGAAACACTTTATGTTTTTTTTCCACTGTAAAATATTAAATAACTTGTCATTGTTTTCCAAAAATACATTTTTTTTATAGTACATGACTGGTATTATTTAAAAATGAACTGAATGTTGTCATTCCTTTCTCCAATGGGATAGTTTATATATGTGACTTACTTGTTGACTTCTACTCAACTATTTAGCTATTTACGAGGGAAATAGTTCATGTTAAAGCAGAGAGCATTCAGAGTGAATGAATGCAACAAAAGATAGGCCCCTTTTGTGGTGCAGTGGTAGTGTCCCTGCCCCTGGTCCAGGAGGTCCACGTTCAAATCCCACCTGCTTCAGAGGTGTGTAAAACATCTCTGATTAGAAAAATATGATTAGAAAAATACAACAAGAATGATAGGAATTTAGGAGACAATGTTGACTAGACAGAACACCTTATGATATCTAGCAGCTGGACTTGACAAGCTTGCTTGAAATTCCAAGCAACATAAATACAGATTAAGAATACCATGTCATAGAACTAAGAATTAATAAATTGCTTACTTTAGACATATTGTGCATGCCCAGATTTTTAAAAACTCAGGTCCAATACTTATAACAAAGTAAGAACAACTGTTTGAATGGCAAATCTGACTCAAGATTAGTGTCTTAGTTTGGTAATGAATAAAATTAAAATTATAGGGAAGAACCATGGTAATCAAATGTAGAAGATATAGGGAGTTGTACATGAAGTGTAGTAACTTAAAGGGCTATAAACCAAAAGCTGGAAGTAGAATTAGACTGGGTAACATAATTATTTCTACTTTTAATTGAACAACATATTTATATTTGAATTATTAGGGAGAAATAAAATCTTGTTTCACAAGGTAATTTTACCATTTGAGTAGTTCTTCTATGTAGCATGGCTTAATTTCTGAATGTGGAATAACTGTCATATTTGCATCATACTAGTTAACGGATTGATTGATATCTCCAGAGATACTTGCTTTATAAATTGCAAGAAAAGAATAAGACTATTAAACAGTTGTTTCAGCTGTGCCCTGTAATGAGTTGATTATTTTCAATTAAGGCAAGGTGCAGTTGATATCGTTTTAACAAGAAAGCTGCCAAAGACCTGATGAGAAAGTGGTAATTGTTCTCAGTGGGATAAGTTATATTAGTAGTTTTTCAGGATTCTAATCTTCTCAAACTGAGGCAAATTCTAAGTATGTTTTGTGGGAGTAATACATGAATGTAAGTACTGGAAAATATAATATGTGGTGTATCAAATGGCAACTTTGACACTATTTTGGAAGCTTTATGTTTCTATTTTTTTTTTTTTTTTGTTTTTATTTACCAGATGCCATTATCCAGCAATATTTTGGATGTGTATAATGATCAGGGCATGACTGCCACTACTATTGGACTCACTGATACTTCTTGCTCTACTAACCTTTCAGTGAAAAGGGAAATTGCAGCTACACAACCTGGAAGTAAGTGTTGTAGTAATTAGTAATACATAGCAAATTTTCATGATGTGGTGGTTATACTGTTTAAGTTTGAGATTGTCTTGGAAAAAGGTACAGAGAACTAACTGTGGGCAGAGGATAGTTCTTAATTAATAATTCATTAGTTTGCAGTTAATACTTTTCTGTTTTTTTTTTTTTTGACACTGCATTTGAATTACATACTATATTTAAAAAAAAAAAGTTCTTGGTTTTTGTGCCAATATGACTAGTTGGGTTAGTATGGCTGAGGGAAATAAATTTTAACTATACTGCTTTCAAAAGCAGTGGCCTATGTGAAATCTCTAGATAGAATCGATTGAAGCTGTAGTTGGCAACATATTTCCTGGTTGTTGTGAACAATGAACACCAAAGCTTTTTAATTCTTGTAACAAATCCATTTGATACAATGAGATCATATCTGCAAAGGGTGCTTGTATTTTTGGAGTAGCATCTTTACTGCATTTGATATGAAACATAGTTTAACATAAGAGCACAAACGCCTGGCTTTATGGTGGTAGTGGCATCATGACAAATCATCTACTTTCAATGCATTTGTCATGGAGTTAAAGTTCTCCAAGTTATTATGTATCTTTAAATGACTAGTTTTATGGGAGAGACCCATTCCTTCCTTGCTTTTGAATAGCACAATGCACAATTATGTCTAAGACAGAGAAGCTACCACTTTATTTTTTTTTTTAAAAAGGTCCCTCCCTTTTCTCGACTGACATTCATGCTTGCTCTATATTTCTAATTGCTGACTTTGGGGCTTCTTCACATTGTTGTGAAACAGAACTCCAAGCAGCATCTCATACCAGATACTACTACTAGTTCCTTATAATGCTTCTTCTCTATGAAGCTGAAGTCCTTTTAGGAAATTATCAACCACAGACTATTAATTACAGTTTAACTTCAAATCCTGTTTTAATGATAAAACTTGGATCTCAAATAAGTCTCTATATGCATGAATGCAGAGTTCCTATTCTCTACTCTTGCACTGTAAATTCTTAAAAAGAAACATTTCTGGTAAATATAGGCACCGTCAAGGGAATTGTGCCCTTTCCAGTTCCTCTTTTATTAGCTATGGTACAGCTATGAACTTCAAATCAACAGATGTCAGATTGTAATTGGACCTGGACCTGGACCTGACACTACAATTTTTGTCTGCATTTCACCAGAAACGATGCTTTTGCATTGACAGTTATGGTATATAAAGGCACCTGCTAACTTTATCTATCCCATGATTGGGACCGTTCTCAATACTCTTACTTCTAGTCACAGTAAAAATAAAATCTTGACCTCTAACAGATTCTACTTTGGCTTCTAGTTACTCAGATCCTGTGCTCTTTCTCTGGCTCAGTCTGTCTTGACTCCATTTTATCTGTATCACAATCTATTGTTGAATGTTTCTTCAGCTATAAATAGAAAAAAACATCAAACACTTCACATCCATGTCTTCTAACAGTACTGAAGTCAAGCTTGCTGTTATAGTCTATACTTGAGGGTTTTTGTTTCAACATCTCCAAGGCTTAGGATTTTTGTTTAATTCTCATTGCTTCTCTTGTTTCCACAATCTTCAGGCTTTGAATCAAATCCTTTATTTTGCTGCATGTCTTTTATTTTTCCTGTGTCCTGTACAATGAACCTTTGACTCATTTCTAAAAAAACAGAAACTGTTATTTGTGCAATGAAACTGGATAGCTTCTTCAAGTTTGTGCCAGAAGTTTGTATCTATTACTATCAACTCTCCTCAGAAATCACTCAAGTAATCCAACCATTTTGTTTTCCTGCATGTTCTTACAGTAGAAAATAGAAAAAAAAACTTCTGTTACATTCCACCAATTTGATATGAAAGGTGGTTTCAGCTGGTTTTATTACCATATTCCGTAACAAAGAATAAGACTCTGTCTGACATTTTAATTAATATCATGCTCGCTTAAATCCTAATGAATTTAGGAAGCTGGGTGGATGTCTGTCTTCAATATATAAATCAGTATAGAAGTTCTCCAGATTATGATCAATTTAGAACACTGGTTTATTATTAAAATACAAAATTGTGCACTTGAGGGTAGTTTTTGTCAGTTAACTGGATTAAGATTGGTTGCTGGGATGAGACAGCAAAAGGATTACTCACTGGATATCCCTGTGGATTGGGATCTTCTATCCATTTTTTTAAAAAAAAAGTTAATTAGGAGAAGATTTTAGGGAAGTAAATTAAATAATTCAAGGATGGACCTTAATCAGAAATTGCTTTCAAAGATAGTTTACCAAGCTGAATTTATAAGTGACTGTCAAAGGTTGTTAGAATGCAGGCACAAATCTATCAATGCGTATGATTGTATTCTATTAAAAATTCAAATAATAGTTGCTTGAAACTAACCAGTCCTCATTAACTGTGGCAGATGCTGAAACACGTGCACTTGTTAAAGAAAGGCAAAAGAAAGATAATCACAATTTGAGTAAGTGTGGTCTAATTCAATATCTGTGTGTTTGGGTTTAATTGTATTAACTTACAGAATATGCAATTTAGTTGTTATACAACTAACTTAGTTTATCTTGTTACTTCAAAGTTGAACGAAGGCGAAGATTCAACATTAATTATCGTATCAAAGAACTTGGTACCTTAATTCCAAAGTCAAATGACCCGTAAGTACACAGATGTTTTCAAGAATCTATTTGAAAACACTTGGCCTTAGATTTCACTTATTTATCCAGATTTTTGCAGAAATACAACTTGTGCAATGATTAAACAATTAACTTTGAACTTTCTAAAGTATTATTTCCTCATCTGTGCTGCATGACTTGAACTGTAATTGCTTTAAATTATTCTTCTGAATTTAAATGGTTTTTAATACAGTTTAATTTATAAAATAGTTGTAAATTGCCTAAGTAAGAGGTTATATGTCTATCCTAATTTTTATACAGACGACCCTCTGTTTTTATGAAACCTATTTAATACTGGTATTTATGGTGAAGACCAGAATGGTCTTAAAGCCATTCACTGTGAATTTAGTAATCTTAAGAACTCTTACCAGTTAAGATTGGGTCCAAAAAGATAGGGAGACAAATGCTTGGTATGTTCAAATGTTTTTTTGCAATCTATTATTTAATAGAGTAATCAGACCGGATGGGATACTGATATCTAATCTGTTGAATTTAATGGGTAGTGTTCTTTGCTTTTAGAAACTAGCAGTCGGTCTGATAATTGACATGCATCTAAGTTTTGAGGCTTGATTAGTGGCGGATTTTGTGGAATAGGTAAAATCTTTTTCTGGTATACAATCTCTCCAAACCTTCAATCATGTATCTATAATGCTCAACATTGTCATTTGTGCTCTGACTTCAGAGGAAAATCTATGAAATGGCAGAGGAGCTAACATTTTAAATGTATCCTTTCTTGATTTAAAATTTTACTGAGGCAGACTTTTTAATACAAGATGACATTTTACACTGCAGTGATGTGCGCTGGAACAAAGGTACCATTTTGAAAGCCTCTGTGGAGTACATCAAGTGGCTTCAGAAAGAGCAGCACCGTGTCCAAGAATTAGAAAACAGGCAAAAGAAACTGGAACAAGCTAATCGGAGATTGCTGCTACGGATTCAGGTATGTCAAGAGCCTAAAGGCCAAAGATTGTGTTTGTACTAAGCTGCTTGAATAAAGGGAAGAAGAACTCTAGTGCTGCCAGTGAAAGGAGACCAGAGTTGTTTTGAGTGAAAGAAGAACTGAGTAGCAAAGGCTGTGGATGTCACTGGCAGAGCGTTTACTTCCCAGCCTCCTCGAATCACTGCAAACAATGAAGGTGTTCCCAGAGTGTTCGTTGGTAGGGTGCTTCAGAATTTTAGCTAATGGCATTGAAGGAATGGGAAGATAGTTGGATGTCAAGGTGATGAATAACTTGGGAGAAGGTAGGTTGTGGTGTGCTTTATATGATGCCTTTGGTGTTCTAGATGGTGGCAATCAGATTTTAGAATCTACTGTTCAGCAAATTGCTTTGGTAGATGATACACACTGTGTAGCCATATTACTCCTATGATTTAGAAGAAATGAATTAGTTTTAAGATGGATGAACTGCTGACAATGGGCTGTTTAGTCTGGAAAAACAAATTTTTGTTGGTGCTACACTCAAAGCAAGTTCATCTTATTCCACCATACTGCTACCTTCATGTAGATTGTAAACAGGATTCAGTGAATCTGGTAGGAGACTCCGAACACCATCGATCTGCTCTTGTAGCTGCGGTACATATACCTGGTCAGTTAGGGTTTTGGTGAATGATGAGCTTCCCAGCATAAACATCTCTCCTCTCCTGTCTCTGTTGGTATTACTGTTGAATATCAAGGGGAAGGATTTAGATTCTTGTTGGTGCTGGTCAATGCCTGACACTTGTGGTGTAAATGTTAATCAGCATTTGGCAGAATGCTATCCATTCTGTTAATGGGTATAGACTACTTCATCTGAGGAAGTACAAATGGAATTAAATACTGCATTCAACAATTTTCTCAAACATTGACTTCCATCATTATAATGGAAAGTCACTGAAGCAGCTGAAAATGATAGGGCTTGAACATTGCTAATTTTGTACTTGGTATGACTTCAGTCAGTGGAGAATTTTCTCTGACAACATTAACAATTTTATAAGAGCTTCTTGATAACACACTTGGTGAAATCCCTTTAAATCAAAGGCAGGAGCACACCTCTGGAATATAATTCTTTTGATCTTGGGACTTAAGGCTACATTAAAGTTTGTAACATTGTGATCCTGGGAAAATATAATTTGATTTAGGTGGGCAATTACTGATGGGCATGTTGCTTGTTAGCATTGACAATTTCCATCACTGAATAGACTATTGAGATGTGAACAAGGGGCAACATTAGTTTTTGTCCAGGGTTCATAGAAAACTGCCCAGGTTTTGTTACCATTTTGCTGGTAAATGCCAATGTTTTGTATTGAAGCAACTTGGTTTAGGGCATGACTATTTCTCAATACAACCATCAGCCTATTGTGTGGGCCTGTAGCCTAAGGTTGTTGGCAGTATTTTTTTTTTTAAAAAAGACTAGCAATTTGCTTAAGACTTGTATCCAGTAGAGTCTTCAGCATGCAAATTGACCATTCACTTTGCACTACTTGCTGAAGGTGGCTGTAAGTGATTCAAAAGTTGCTTTTTGCAGTTGTGTGCAGGGCTCAATCTCTTCTTCAATATTTTTTTTTCCCAAGATGCAGAAGTCTCTTTCAGCTATATAACAGTTCAACCACCAGTTCAGTTAAGCCTTTTTTTTTTAAAAAAAAAAAAAAAAAAAGTGGTCCCTTGCAGTTCATGGACCCATTTTATATGGTGTCTCATTATACAGAACGCCACTAAATTTTTGGTGTACAACAGTTCTGGTCCAACCGAAGAATACATTCATGTTATCTCTGCTTATTTACAAGGTGTAGAGCTGGATGAGCACAGAAGGTGAAGCAGCTGGGTTTTCTGGCATGACCACCATCACCTGTCCCTATAATTCCCCTGAAAGTGGTGGCAGTCCTTTCAGTGTTATTCACTAGTAGGACATGGGTATCATTGGCATTTATTCTGTTTTGTTGTCCTCAAAGTGGGTGATGAGCTGCAGTCCATGTGCTGTGGGTTGACCCACAATGCTGTAACAGGGGGAATGCCAGGATTTTGACTCAGCCACACAAGGAACAGAATTGTACTTCCAAGTCGGGTTGGTGAATGGCTTAGAAGAGAAGTTGCAGGTAGCGGTGTTCCAATGTATCTGCTTCCCTACTTCTCCTAGCTGGAAGTGTTTGGGAGTTCTGAAGGTGCTGACTAAGACCTTATCTGCAAATGCCCTGTAGAAATTTGCCAAAGTAGCCACAATATTGCTGAGTGCCAGTGGTGGAAGGAGTGGTCAGTCAAGTAGGCTGCTTTGTTTGGCTGTGTCTAACTTCTTGAGGTGCTGTTGGACCTGTCCTCATCCAGACAAAGGGAGTATTCCATCCCATCCTGACTTCCTCCATGTAGATGGAGGATAGGCTTTGGGGACTCAAGTGAGTTATTTGCTACAGTATTCCTGGCCTCTGGCCTATTTTGCAGCCACTATTTGAGTCCAATTTGGTTTCTGGTCAATGGTAAACCAAAGTTAGTGGGGGATTCAGTGATGGTAACATCGAACGTTAAGAGGTGGTCGTTAGATTATCTCTCTTTCTTGAGACAATCATTGCCTGGCATTTGTGTGGTGTGAACATTACTTGCCACATGTGAGCTCAGGCCTGGACATTGTCCAGATCTTCCATTTGAATATGGATTGCTTCAGTATCTGAAGAGTTTAGAATGATGCTGAACGTTGTGCAATCAGTGAATGTCCTCATTTCTGACCCTATGGAGGGAAGGTCACTAAAGATGGTTGAACCTAGGTCATTACCCTGAAGAACTCTGATGTCCTGAAGATGACTGACTTCCAACAGCCAAAACCATCTTGCTATGTGCCAGGTATGATTCCTCCCAGCAGAAAGCTTTCTCCCGATTCCAGTTTTGCTAAGACTCCTTGATGTCACACTTGGTCAAATGTTGTCACACTCACTTTCTGGAGTTCAGCTCTTTTGTCTGTTTGAACCAAGGCTGCAATGAGATCAGGAATTAAGTGAACCAGGTGGAACTCGCTGGGTGTCAGTGAGCAGGTGCTGCTTGAGAGCATTTGGAATCTTTCATCACTTTGTGGCAGTAATTGCTGGTTTGGATTTGTTCTGTTTATCTATAGGGGAGATAGCTGAGCAGTTTTCTACATTGTCAGATGCCAGTGTTGTACCTATACTGGAAGAGCTTTGTTAGGGATGTGGCTTGTTCTAGAGCTCAAGTCTTCTCATTTAAGAAGAGTGCCTTAGCAGGAGCTGGAGCTTGGCTGCTGCTGCTGGTGCCTGGGTTGTCCAGTAAATAATAAAGCAGCAGAAGTGATGGGAATTTTGTTTTTAGGGGATCAGATGAGCATTTCTGTGAAATTCTATTATCCCACATGTATTTTGCCTCCCTGGTGCCAAGTATACAGATATCAGAGGCTGCTGGCCATTTTTCTGGGGCAAGGTGAACATTTCGAGTTGTGATACACATTGGTACCATTTGATTGTAAGGAGGTCAAGGGATGTGGTCTTGTATTAAATTTAAGGAGTTAACTAGGAACTTGGCAAACAAAACTGCCAAAGTAGTAATCAGTACAGAAAAAGGATGTTAAAACATGTGGCTGGAAAGTATGATACAGGAGGGAGGGCTTTAGACTCCAGGGTCAATGGAATTCCATCTGGAGAAGATGGCACCTGTACAAGTCTGGTGGTTGCATGTGAATAGAACTGATACTATATTCCTCTGTAGGATTTTATTGGTTTTTGGAGTATTTTGAAACAATATATAAAGGGTGTAGAAATCAGAATATCAAAGGAATATCAGAATACATAAAATACTGGGATCAATGATTTAGCAGTAGAATAGAAAATGGTCAGTTCAGGGTGGATTTGGAATAAAGGAGAAATTGAACTCTTCTAAACCAGATATTGTGCAATCATAAATGCACAGTATAATGAACAGTGAGTTACAGGCACAGATTGCCATTTGAACTTATGATGTCATTGTAAGAAATCTGGTTCAAGGAGACAAACTGGGTGTTACCTGTTTTCATTGCTCATGAAAGAGCGAAGAGATGAGTGGTATTGTTGATGAGAGCATTGCTATACTGGAAAGAGAATGTCCTGGAGGGTTTAGGAGTGTAATCAGTTTGCCTACAGCAAAGGAACAAAGGTCCAATGCATTATTCTGGTAGTCTATAGGCCACAGATTATCACCACATGTGGTACGTGAAGGCATGTAGGCACCATATGTCCCAGATGAACGCATTCAGGAAATGCCAATACCTATAAATAAGTAAAGATCAATCCATCAGACTTTGGGCAAATTATTGAAAAGAACACTTGAAAGTGATTAATTACTACTTGGAGAGGCACAGATTAATTGGGAATAAACAGTTTTGTTCAGGAAGGTCATGTGTTGCTAACTTAATATTTTGAAGGAGTAACAAGGAGAATTGGTAGTGTAATCGATGCTGTATATCCAATTCTTTTGGTAAGGAATTGGGCAAGGTTACATATGACAGGCTGAAGAAAAAAATGCCCATGGGATACAAGGGAACACTGAGTTGATCCAAAATTGGCTCAGCAGACAGGAAACAAAGGGTAATAGATGACATGTTTTTGTAAATGAAAAGCTGTTTCCAGTGGTTTTCTACAGGGATAGTAGGAACTGCAGATGCTGGAGAATCTGAGACGACTAGGTGCAGGGCTGGATGAACACAGCAGGCCAAGCAGCATCATAAGAGCAGAAAGGCTGACGTTTCGGGCCTAGACCCTTCATCAGAAAAGGGGGAGGGCAAGGGGGTTCTGAAATAAATAGGGAGAGTGGGAGGCGGATAGAAGATGGATAGGTGGAGAGGAAACAAACAGATCGAAGAGGCGGGGATGGGGCTAGTAAAGGTGAGTGTAGGTGGGGAGTTAGGGAGGACGGACAGGTCAAGGGGGCGGGATGAGGTTAGTCGGTAGGAGATGGGGGTGTGGCTTGAGGTGGGAGGAAGAACAGGTTAGGGAGGCGGGAACGAGCTGGACTGGTTTTGGGATGCAGTAGGGGGAGGGGAGATTTTGAAACTTGTGAAATCCACATTGATACCATTGGGCTGCAGGGTTCCCAAATGGAATGAGTTGCTGTTCCTGCAACCTTCAGGTGGCATTGTTGTGGCACTGCAGGAGGCCCAGGATGGACATGTCGTCTGAGGAATGGGAGGGGGAGTTGAAATGGCTCGCGACTGGGAGGTGCAGTTGTTTATTGCGAACGGAGCGTAGGTGTTCTGCAAAGCGGTCCCCAAGCCTCCGCTTGGTTTCCCCGATGTAGAGGAAGCCACACCAGGTACAGCGGATGCAGTATACCACATTGGCAGATGTGCAGGTGAACATCTGCTTGATGTGGGAAGTCTTCTTGGGGCCTGGGATGGGGGTGAGGGAGGAGGTATGGGGACAGGTGTAGCACTTCCTGCGGTTGTAGGGAAAAGTGTCAGGTGTGGTGGGGCTGGAGGGGAGTGTGGAGCAGACAAGGGAGTCAAATAAGAACCAAAAAAGAATCCCCCTCGTCCTCGCGTACCACCCCACCAACGTCCAGATCCAACGCATCATTCCTCCAACACTTCCACCATCTGCAATCCGACCCCACCACCAAAGACATCTTTCCCTCCACCCTTTATCTGCTTTCCGGAGGGACCACTCTCTCCGTGACTCCCTTGTCCGCTCCACACTCCCCTCCAGCCCCACCACACCCGGCACTTTTCCCTGCAACCGCAGGAAGTGCTACACCTGCCCCCAGGCCCCAAGAAGACTTTCCACATCAAGCAGATGTTCACCTGCACATCTGCCAATGCGGTATACTGCATCCGCTCTACCTGGTGTGGCTTCCTCTACATCGGGGAAACCAAGTGGAGGCTCAGGTCCGCTTTGCAGAACACCTACGCTTGGTTCGCAATAAACAACTGCACCTCCCAGTCGTGAACCATTTCAACTCCCCCTCCCATTCCTCAGACAAAGTGTCCATCCTGGGCCTCCTGCAGTGCCACAACGATGCCACCCGAAGGTTGCAGGAACAGCAACTCATATTCCACTTGGGAATCCTGCAGCCCAATGGTATCAATGTTGATTTCACAAGCCTCAAAATCTCCCCTCCCCCTACCGCATCCCAAAACCAGTCCAGCTCGTCCCTGCCTCCCTAACCTGTTCTTCCTCCCACCTCAAGCCGCACCCCCATCTCCTACTGACTAACCTCATCCCGCCCCCTTGACCTGTTCTTCCTCCCTGGACTGACCTATCCCCTCCCTAACTCCTCACCTTTTACTGGCCCCATCCCCACCTCTTTGACCTGTTTGTTTCCTCTCCTCTATCCATCTCCCACTCTCTCCCTATTTATTTCAGAACCCCCTTCCCCTCCCCCTTTTCTGATGAAGGGTCTAGGCCCGAAACGTCAGCCTTTCTGCTCCTCTGATGCTGCTTGGCCTGCTGTGTTCATCCAGCCCTGCACCTTGTTGTCTCGGTTTTCTACAGGGCTCCGCTTTGGGACCCTTGCTGTTTTAATGAGACTCAAATGTTGGACGCATGATTGGGCAATTTTCAGACAATGCAAGAAATGACTGGGTAGTTGGTGAAAACGATGCCTGTCAACTGCAGGAAGGTATCCATGGTTTTCTTGAATGAGAAGAGAACTGGCAAATGGAATGCAATCTGGAAAAGTTCAGTTATACATGTGAGGAGGGCAAATGTGAAGGAATGCAACATACAACAAACACCATGGTATTCAGGGTTGAGGTATTGAGTGCTTGTACTTGGGTCCTTGAAGTGACCAGGAGGTAGATAACGTGATGAAGACATTAGGATGCTTTCCTTCACTAGTCAAGGTATCGATTAGAAATGTAGGGACATAAAAGTTGGAACAATAAGAGTGGCTAGTCCGTAACTGGAGTCTTGTGTGCAGTTCTAGTTATCGCATTACACTCCAGTCGTTATGCATTGTCTGTGGGTTCTATTTACAAGAACACTGCCATGGCTTGAAAATTGGCAGCTATGAAGAAATATTGGCTAGACTAAGATGACTATTAGAACAGTAGGCTGAGGGGTGAGTTAATTGAGGTGTACAAAACCGGGCTTTTGGATAGTGGATAGCTGTACCTGATTTCTTCTTTTATTGGAGATGTCAATTTAACAGACATTATAGGGGGAATGCATGGAGAAACTTGTTTCACCCAAAGGTCATAGTGGTTCCTGAACTGGAGAGTTGCAAATACTGCATCCTTGCTCGGGGTGAAAAAGTATGGCTAAGCCTGGCAATCAGGCTGTTAAGTTTCCCTTTTGCGGTTGAGACATGGAGAGATAACAATTTGTGATAGAATTAAGTCATGGACAAATATGGGTTTATCAAGGAGAGTCATAAGGCTGCATAGTTGGTTGTGTACACTGCTTTCTCAAGGAGTTTGATATAATGTCACATGAAAGATCTGACTGACTTTATAGCTTCTGAAATAAACTGAGGAGTAGGGCTGTCTCTATTAGTAGAAATAACATGGAGACAGAGGATAAATGGCTCTACTCTGAAGGGGTAGAGAGACCTAGATGTAGATGAACCTTTTTTATTAATAAAAGAATTACAAGCTGGAGTAGGCCATTCAGGCCCTTAAAACCCTTTGCCCTGTTCTGATAAACTATTCCTCAGATCATGCCTATGCTGCATTCTTGCTATTTCAAAATGTTGTTCCTGTGCTTCAACATTGCTATTGCTTTAGGCAAAAGTTTATAACTAGTATTGTGTGGATATGGCTATAGACAAAACTCTGAAAACCATTTTGTTTTTCACACTGAAATAGATGTAATTTTGGACTGGTGTTGAGATGAATATTGTAATTACCCTTCTGCAAATATCCCGAGAGATGAATTTGTTTTCCAGGCATTGTGGCTGACACTATTGTAACTTGGTCCACATTCTAGCTATATCTCTACAATGGAAAGGTCCTACGCTCCAGGATTAAAGGATTATATTCTCCATGATGTAATGGAAGCTATATTGTTTTAATTTGTCACTTATAAATGACCATGCATCTAAGATGGCTTTCTTTTTTTTTTCCCCAGGAGCTGGAAATGCAAGCCCGCATCCACGGACTACCCATTGTGTCATCAACCATTAGTCCAACTGAGCTGGTAACTCACATTGTCAAGCACGAGTCCTACCAAGGGGACAATAGCCCTGATTATCTGCAGCAGCCAAGCTTGCCTCAAATGTTGAATGAACTCAATGAAGCATCCTGTAACTTCCTGGATCCATTGTCACATTTCACAGACTTGTCATTCAGTGCTGCTTTGAAACAGGAAAACCGTCTTGATAACATTCTATTAGACAACACAATCTCTCCGTTGGCATCTGATCCACTGTTGTCTACAACATCACCTGGTGCATCTAAAGGAAGCAGTAGGAGAAGTAGCTTCAGCACAGATGAAGAACTGTGAAAAATATGTAGTGAGGGACAATGATCATTTCACTTAATGATTTAAACATTAAGGCGATTTTTGCTTACTGCTTGATGCCTTGAGACATTTGCACATCAGGCTGTTAACATTTTTACTTTGAAGATTAGATTATTCTCCATGTTGTTGTTTATTTCACCTTTGCTGCTATTAATAATCCTTCATGCAGGAACATGATCTAGCTTTCACATGGGCCAAATGAAACCAGTGTTCTGAAAATACATAACTATATGCACAATTAATAGAATGCTCCAACATTCTTTTTCACCAGGTGTATTTGCAAACGACTGATTTATATACTTGCTCATTTTAAGCAGAACATTTATTTTCAATCAGGTGTTTTTTTTGAGGACGACTATAAAAATTTGGATAGTGAAGGAATCTGCCAAAACTGAATCAGAATTTGTTATGCTAATATCTTGTGTATGCAATATTGCAGTGTCCTGTTTAGAATTATTAGACATTAATAATGGGTCAGCTGGAATTGCATTTTTCTAAACATTAAAATAGGTACATTTTTAGAACTTTGAAATTGTTTCCACTCCTGCCCCACAACTTTGAGTCCAGCTGCACTTTTATACTTCAAGGAAGGGAGATTAATCGCAGTTCAGTTGATTTCTTTTTTCAAACTGGACAAGAATCCAGCATTCATTACCAATTTTTTTTAATAATGGTAATTGATCAAAAGGGAGATGGTGAATTAATTATTTGAGAAATAAGTGATGTAAAATGTTAAGTTGTATTGTATTCTGGCCCTTTTTTTGGACATGGAGAGTTATGTTGCAGTATTACATAAACCCTGTTCAGAGCATAATTAGGTTACATATTAGTTAGAAGCATAATTAAATTAAAGAAATGCAAATTGTAGAAATTATTTGGTACAGTTTTTTGGTTTTTAAATTGAAATTGCTAAAGAATATTACATTTTGTGTATCTTACTGCAAAAAAGTACTGGTCTTAAACTTTGATTTTTTTTGTTTGATAATATGCTTTAATGATCGATCTTGTGAAATATTTCATGTACCTCAGAAGCCATATAATTCTTTCACTTGGTGTTAACTGTCTTCCCCATCTATTTGATCTATTTTTGTTAGATAACAAAAAATGAAAAATATTTGCAATTAGCAAAAGGGCATTACGATAACTTTTTAAATCATTTCCCATTTTTCAACACCAGATTGCATTTATGCTGCAACTTCAGTATATTGAAACATTTAAGGTGCCTTTTAAAATATAAAGTAAAACATGGGACACTTAGCCAAAGGAAAAGAATTGAGGAGGGTGACCAAAAATCTTGGTCAAACCTGTTTTCAGAAAGTCATTAAAGGGAGGTGGAGAACTAAGGGAAACTGAGGAAATCCTGAAGCGTGTGGCTTAATTCTTAGTTCCCAGATCTTCAAGGGGATGTGAGTGGAGAAATGAGGCACAAAGCCAGTAAACTTGAAAGCTTGAAACCAGATTGTAGATATTGAAGGTTACAGACATTTTGGGAGAAAGACCTGCATCATAATGAGAATTTTAAATTTGTGTGGTTTTTGGGAATCAGCCAAAGTAGATCAGCAAGGACTGAAAAGGAAGGGATCAGGAGTTGGTATTGGACAATAAGGACAGTAAAATTTTGAAACATCTGACCTCTGATTAAATGGTTGTTCATCTAGTTATGGCTGAGTATTGTATCAGCACAGTTGAAGACTTCAGGACCTGTTGGAACAGATGTGAAGTCTAGAAATTTTGTGAATTGAATTGCTACAGTGTAGAGTGACATTGTTTAATCTTGGATTGGAAGGCTGTTGCTCAACCTAGAGTGTTTGATAGTAATGCAAACTTCAATTGAGAGAATCACTATCAGTTCAATAAAATAGGGTGGGGGAGGTGAAACCTGATTGGATCTTGAAGCATCTAAACCAGTTCTTGCTTTAAAGACTGACAATAATTACTTATTTGTCTATGAAAGCTAATTTTTGATGGAAAAAATGTTTAGCTATTTACCCAGTTCTGCATACATGGAATTGCAACTGCTACACACTAACTGCTCATTTCTGAAATGAGGGAAGAGATGAAGATTTTAACAGCTCAGTGAGCGTGGAGGTGACTAAATAGCTTGTAAAATGATATTTTGGCTTGGCCATTGAAACTCTAATCTCTTCAAGGCTTTAAACTACTGATGTACATTGCCATTGTATTATTTTGCATGCAATAATCTTTGTAAAATGTGTATAGATTTTTAATCTTTCATGTAAAACATTCTGGAAATCCTTTATGTACAGTGTTTTTTGTTTCTGGTTCCATTGATTTTTGGATATTACTAAAGCATTAAATTCACCAAATTTATTTTAAACTTGTCTTCAAACATGATCTTCAGTATTCAGTCTAAGGTCATCAAATGCTCTGATTTTAAGATAATTCCATGCAGCTCCAAAGCTTGGAAAAACAAATTGCACAAAAGACCAGCTTTGCTTCAAACACAATGCTGGAAAAACTCATCAAGAAAGAACTCCAGGAAGGGGGCCATGAAATGACCTTGGCAAGTAGGGTTAAAGAGAATCTCAAGGCATTCTATACACTAGAAACAAGAGGATAATCATGGAAAAGGTCATCACTTGAGGATAAAGGAGGGAACTTCTACTTGGAGGCAGAGGATGTGGGTAGATCCTAAATGAACACAGGATATGGAGAATAGTGAGATTTGCATGGAGCATGCTGATGTTAGAGCTCTCTTGAAGAGCATTACGCTGGATAAGTCCCCAGAGCCTGACGGTATCAATGCCAGGTTGTTGGGAAGCAAAATAGGAGATTGTTTGTTTGGGTCTTGACCAAGCTGTTGCATCCTTGCTAGCCACTGGAGGTCCCAGAGGATTGGCACGTAGCTAATGTTTCCCTGTGCAAGAAGGGAAATAGGGATATTTATAGCTGGCGAGTGTCTCATTGGTAGTTGGTAAACTATTGGAGAGAATCCTTGGATAGGATTTACATGCATTTAGAAATGCATGCCCTAATTAGTGACAGCCAGCATGGTTTTGGAGGGTAAGTCATTGTCTTACTAACTTGATTCCCTTCCTCAAGGAGCCACAAAGGTGATTGAGGGTAGAGTAGTGGATGTTTAATGTAGATTTTAGTAAGGCTTTTGACGAGGTCCCTCAGTAGGCTCATGCAGAAGATTAAGTGCGTGGGATCCATGGTCATTTGGCCATGTGGATTCAGAGGGTTTGCCCATTGAAGGCAGAGGACAATGGTGGAAGGGTGTTTTTTTTTTTTCTCAAGCTGGAGGTCTGTCTAGTGTTCCACTGGGCTCTGTACTGGGACCTCTGATTATACAAATGACTTGGATGAAAATGGAGATGGCTGGGTTCGTATGTTTTGCAGATGATAGAGTGGTGGTGTTGAGGATTATGTAGAAGATTGTCACAGGATGCAATGAAATATAGAGCAATTGCAGATATGGGCAGAGAAATAGCAGATGACACTTAATCCTGGTAAGTGTGATGTGTTGCACTTCAGGAGATCAAATGTTAAGGAAATATACAATTGATGGTAGGACCCTGAACAGCACTGATGTACAGAGGGATCTTGGGGTTCGCGTCCATACCCCTCTGAAGGTGATCATGTAGCTAGTGAAGGTGGTATATGGCATGCTTGCCTTTATTTGTTGGGGAATTGGATACAAGAGTCAGGATGTCGTGTTGTGGCTTTATAAAACTTTGTGCTGCACTTGAGTATTGCTTCAATTCTGGTGGCTACACTAGAGGAACAATGTGGAGACTTTGGCGAGGGTGCTGAAGAGATTTACCAGGATGCTGCCTTGGTTAGAGGGTACGAGCTATAACCAGAGGCTAGAAAAACTCTTATCTCTGGAGTGGAGGAGGCTAAGGGCAGACTTGATAGAAGTCTATAAAATTGAGATGAATAGGCTTAATGATCTGAATCTTTTTTTCCCCAGAGTTGAAGTGGCCCAAAACTAGGTGGTGTATATTTAAGGTCAGGGAGTTTAAAGGAGATCATAGAATCCCTATGCTGTGGAAACAGGCATCTGCCTATAACCCACCTAATCTACACATTCCTGAACATTATGAGCATTCCAGCACAGCCAATCCACCTAGCCTGCACATCTTTGGATTGTGGGAAGAAACTGGAGCACTTGGAGGAAACCCATGCAGACACAGGGAGACCATGCAAGCTCCATGCAGACAGTTGCCCTAGCAGTGCTGCCCTTCCAAGGACTCTCTTTAACATGGTGGTAGGAGTCTGGAATGTGTTGCCAGGAGTGGTGGCGCAGACATGATAGGAGTGTTTAAGGGACTTTGAGATAAGCACACAAGTATGCGAGGGATATGGACCAAGGACAGTCAGAAGTTTAATTTGGTGTCATGTTCAGCACAATATCGTGGACCAAAGGAACGAATCCTGTGTGTTCTAGGTCTGGCAGCATTGGTAGAAGGAGAAACAGCTAACTTTGAGTCCAAAATGACTCCTTAGAACTGAGTTCTGAAGTCATACCAGACTAGACATAGCTCTCTCTATCTAGTTTCTCACTCCACTGATACTGCCAGACCTGCTGAATTTCTCCAGCTTTGTTTATTTCAAATTTCCAGCATTTGTAGTACTTTGCTTTTATACTAAAATATGCTTTAGTCAAAATGTAAACACCACGTTTGGCACTGTAACCATTTTTCTATGGTAGGATTTGATGTTAAGTTTCTTTTAAGAAAAACACATCCCAAAATTAAAAATAGGCAAAAGATCACAACCTGCTTTTTATTTCAAAAATCACCTTAAAGACTGCACAAGATATTTGTAGTTAATCAATAACCTTCTTGCTAATTGTGTTTGAATGTATATATTCTGTATCCAAAGCAGAGAAAGGTTTTTTTTTTAAATGGCCAGGCATTGCCATGTCTAATTTTGTCAACCTTGTGATGTCCTCCTCACTAATGCGTGGGAGTTTTGTGCCAAACTTTGGAGACATATACCACAGACTAATTAATCAGCCTGGAATATTCATACACTCTGCATCAAACCAACAATGTCCTAGACACCACCACCACTATTATCCCAGAGTATGTTCTCTGTCCCAGTCTCACCAACAGTATAAGCTTCCAGAGGTGGTGGCACAGTGGTAAACTATCAGGGAGGAGGGACTTTTTCTCCAGAAGTCACCAACGTTGACTCTGGACCTTGTGAAGTCTCATGGTGTCAGCTTAAGCATGGACAGTGAAATGATCAACAATCACTTCCTGCCCTTAGCTGATAGTTTAGTATTCCCCAATGTTGGACACTACATGGAGGAAGTAGAACTCTACTTGAAGGTAGTAAGGCTACAGTGTCTTCTGGGTGGCAGGACTGTATGTCTGGAGTGGTTCAATAGCGCCACTATTGAGTCCACCAAATCCTTAAAGGAGACAGGTGCTACATTGGATCTTAAGCAGGTAAGGAAGGAGCCAACAAGTTTGGGGGGGAAAGCTACTTTTTTGCATTCAAAGAATCTGGGACTGAAACTATCTGGTTTTAACTACCTCAGCTGTCATAGTTTGAGCGAGGTATGACTCAACAAATGGAGAGATTTCTCTTGCTTCCCATCAACTTCTGTTTTGTTAATACTTCTTGACTTTACATGGACATCAAGGGCAGTCATTTTTGTTTTCATTCTGGAGTTTAGCTCTTCAGTCTGCACTTGGTTGAAGGTTAAATGAGGTTGGGAGCAGAGTGGCACTGATGGAACCCAAACTGAGCATCAGTTAGTGGATTAAGGCTGATCAAGTGCTAATTTGATAGCACTGTTGATGACTCCTTCTATTGTTTTGACGATTGAAAGTAAACTGATGAGCTGGTAAATGGCTGGGTTAGGTTGTCCTGCTTTCACTGCAGAGGAACACCCTGGACAATTTTGTACATTGGCACATAGATGACGGTGTTTAGCAGTACAGGTACAGCTTGGTTAGAGGTACAGCTCATTCTAGAACATGAGTCTTCAGTACTGTTACCAGAATGTTGTCAAGGCCTAAATCCTTTTCAGTAGCTAATTACTTCAATTATTACAATTTAAAAAAAACATGGGTTAGAGCCTTTGGAAGCTGGGATAGTCATTGTCCTTGAAGATTTTGGTGGCTGCCTTTTGAGCTACTGCACTCCGTTTGATGTTAGGTACATTCAATGTTGTGGAAGAAGATCCAGTAAGACTAAAGGAATGGCAATATATTTCCAAAGCATGATAGTGAGCAGGTTGGAGAACAATTTGCAGATGATGGTGTTGCTATATATCTGCTTTTGTTGTCCTTTGGATGTTTGTGATTCTACGTTTAAGTGGTGCTCTCTAAGGAGCATTGGTGAATTTCTGCAGTGCACCTTGTAATAGCATACATTGCAGCTGCTGCTGCTGCTACTGTTCACCACTCGTGGGAAGAGAGTGAATGTGGTCCCAGTTAAGCTGGCTGCATTTTCCTAGAAGGTGTCAAGCTTCTCGAGTGTTGTTGGATTTGTTCTTGTCGAGATAAGCGTGAAGTATTTTGTTGCGTTGTTTGCTTGCACCTTGCAGATGGAGGACAGGTTTTGTGGAGTCAGGAGCTACGATACTTGCTGCAAGATTCCTAGCCTCTGGGCTGTTCTTGAAGACACAGTACTTATGTGGCCAGTCCAGTTCAATTTCTAGACAATGTTAACTTAGGGATATTGATTGAGGGGGATTCCGTGATGATAACACCATTTATCTCAATTTTGGTATGAGCCCCAAGATAGTGAGGTGAACGTTGCAGTGTTGACAGGACTGAGTTTTCCATTGTTGTTCTTGGTGCCTTGGTTAACGATGGGCAGTCCATCCACTTTTATTTATTTCTGAGACCATTTGGTTATTAAACACAACTGAGTGTCTTGCTGGGCTATTTCATTGATAATTCAAAGCACTTAGGGTTGAGGTTCATTGGGGCCTATTTTCAGCTACAGGTACAAAATCTGCCTTCTTTTTTATTGATGAGGTGGGAAGCATTTTCATTTCGTATGCTTCCTTTTTAAATGGCTGTAGTGTTAGATTGAATGTGACCTGTACCGCCAGCTGGTAAGATGCTCAGTAGCAGACCAGGCAGTGTGTACAGTTAATATATGAGACAGAAGACCCGGCAGTGTGTACTGTTAGTACCTAAGGCAGTCAGGCAGCGTTTACAGTTTGTATCTAAGGCAATGAGACAGCAGACCAGGCAGTGTGAGATAGTAAGAACTGCCGATGCTGGAGTCAGAGATAACACAATGTGGAGCTGGAGGAACACAGCAGGCCATGCAGCATCAGAGGAGCAGGAAAGTTGACATTTTGGGT